AAATTACGGCCGTTCAAAAAAGCAGTTTTGTGCGATTTTTGTCAAGTTTTCTTCCAATTTGTATCACATAATCATCTATGAAACAACGAACAGCTGTTCGGATCAAGATTATTTTTTCTAGCTGTCACTGAAATGTTTACAAATGTTGTTTACAAACACCACAACCATTTCCGATCACGTTTTGAAGGCAAATCCCATCCAAGTGAGATTAAAAACGTTTTTATTACATAAAGGATTTAATTAATCGCAAGTGGAATAATATAGTGTAACCGTAAATTAAATAAGTAGGCATCATCCAGGTCAGGAACCAGAAATATGTGTATAAAATTGTTTTGGAGTTTTGATAAACAGAAAGAAGACATTGAATCAAGATTGAATCAGTGTTGTATACGGCTGGGAAACTTAAATTTACTAATGACCGTCGCCAATAGCTTAGAAACAATGTTCCACTCATTGACGGCTCTTCAATAGCGGTTGTGTAAAGTGTAAAGCAAAAAATTACAACTTCAGTGGGTGATTGTAACAGAGGTTTACGGATGATGCTGAACTCGATTTTCCAATGTGTCACTTTCTGTTCCTACCATTGACTATATAAAGTCAATAGTTCCTACTCACCGTGTGATGCAATCGCTGGACCATACAGCCAATAGGCCCATAGCCCTTCTCTTGGGTACGTGTGGTACGTATGCTTACCCAATTATTTATAACAACCCTTTCGACAACGATCCTTGATACCGGTACTTTTCCATAGAATACACGGCCTACCTAGGTACTTAAGAAATAAAATTATAAACGTCCAAAAACCCAACGTTGTGTGATTTTTGTCACATTTCCTTATAATGTTAATATATATACCAGCAACCATTGTTTCGTAATCTATTAAATAACAGAAAGTTATGTTGTATAAGGTTTTTTTTCAAACTGACACCGATAAGTTTACATTAAGAGTTGTGTACAAATAAAGCAATTAATGGGAAATAACTTTGATTGCCGATAACTTTTTACGAGAAAATCCAAAACCAAGAGATCAATAACCTTGATTAACGCATATAATTGGTCGGCTGTACTACAGTTCTTAACTGTAAACGTTGGTTTTTGGTACGGTAGGCTACTGGTTCTTTTTCTTTTAACCTTTAGTAGCAGCAAGAATCATTTTTACGTACCAACACATCACAGTAATTTACAAATTAGTTATCGTTGGTGTTGCACCTTATTTATTACAGGCGTAGGCCTATTCAATTTAATTGATGTCTTAACTGTATAATTTTTGCTTTTTCTGTCTGGATCCTAAAATGTTATGCTAAGAAAACTATAACGCATTTTAGTAAAACATTTATTCAGCAAACCATCATGAATTGTTCAAACACTTTGGACGTTGTTTATGTATCAATAGTTCGTGGCCTATTTTGGTAATTTTTATTACAAATTACCAATCTAAATCGTCAATTGTAGGCCTACTGTACTTCATTTCATATAGCAAACCGATTCAGATAGCATTTCGACAGAATTTCGAGTCATCTCCGGTCCAAGCAAATATAAATTGTTATGATCAAATTTTATGGCATTAACAAAGATTTCAAGTACTAATTTTGTATGTACCTTTTTATGCTTAAAGCGTAGCAGATTCCCTAATTAAGTTCGGTATTTTTGTGTGTAAGTATGATGGTAACGCATTAATGTCCTTGTTTCTCAATGTTTCACGGAAAGGACAAGAGCGCCTTGATAATGAAAATGTCAACCCGAATAAAGTGTTAAATTAAGAGGTTGAGGTAGTACCTTAAATAGGCCTACTTTTACCCATTATGCTATAGTCCTTTAAATTCTGAACAAAATTGTACAAATCCCATTTCCGTATATTTACTCTCACCGCTTACACATGATAAAGGTTGTTGACAAACTTATGGGAGAAAGTATGTGTCAGAATGCTGATACCGTTTATTTAGTTTAATCATTGGATATAACATATGGACCAACAAGATCCGGGTGACATTTAATTGCGAAGCATTAGTTTTGGCTTGAAACTGTCAGATACTGTATTTGCGAAGGAATAGTTTTGTCAGCATATCTGAAAGTATGCAAACCAACTGCTGTGCTTTATATAAGAAGGTTTTAACTGACTATGATAAGATCCCCGTGCGTAGAACGGGCACACAGCTAGTCTTAAATAAAAAAAGGATTTTTGTTCACAAGTTTAATGTAGCGTAGGCTTTTTAATAATATAGAGGAATGATCGAGCGTGTGCAAGGTTTTACATTTATTTTAAAATTAAAAAATATTGTTCTATTTATTCTAGAAAGCAATATATTAACAGCTATATTTATTTTGCCAATTGATGATAGCAAATTGGTTTTTCTCGGTGTCTTTTTATATCTGATCGTTTGTGACGTTTGAAATATAAAACGTTTAAATGACTCTGCAAGCCACAAACCCACAGCAGAAATTCCGTGAGAACAAATCCTCGTTTCACCACAAAACTTTATCACAATTGCCAGCCTAAGCCATGGTTTCCCTTGTTTGCTATTTTCAAGTACAGACGAATAAAGGGTGAAGGGGGGGCTTTCCACTTGGTAGGGTGAGTTAGAATAAGAGACGCATTTCCCTCAACCATTTATATTTATTTAATTTTTGTTAATATTATATTTTCGTGGGTCTCTAAGTCCATAGACTCAAGAACAATTTTTTGTTGTGTTTTTCCGTTGACACACAACAAAGGCAGTAACTCGAGGAAAAAAGAACCGATTTTGATTAAATTTGGTACAAACTTTTAAACCTACTAAATTGAACCAGCATAATCGGATACCGTCGGACAGCGAGAATGGGACTTTTTTTGGGTAATAAAGGGATTTCCCATTTTTACCTTCGAAACAAAAGAAATCTCAACTTGTTCCTAAAAATATTTGTATAATAAATTATTTATGTACATTTAAGATTTGTTTTACGCTTATGGTCAACGAAAAAATTACAAATAAACTGTAAAGGTCCAATTCCTATCCTGAAACTGTTACGACTCTAACCGCGCGGCTGAAATAAATGACTGATTTAATGCAAATTGCACCCGATTCCTGTCGAGCGTCTACATCCGCGCGACTAGAGCGACTGGAGCCGCGCGACTAGAGCCGTCGCGACTGGACTGCTTCGTGAGCAGTTCAGTCGCTTCAGTCGCGCGGCTGTAACGAATTTATAGTTAACATACGGAGTTTGAGGTGTGCACCTTCATAGATGATGGAACTGGTTCGTTATCACCCATACGTTTTCAACACCAAGAATCCCCAATACTTTATGAAGATGTCTCTGAATGAGAAAATACTCTTAAATCACCTTTTAACGAACGACTGGAGCCACGCGACTAGAGTCGTAACAGCCGTAGGATAGGAATCGGACCTTAAATCTGAAATTCCCATGTTGTTCTTGGAGAATAAGCAAACGGTTTGTTGTAGTTTATTTTTCTCATTACTAGTGTACGTGTTGCTCGAAATCGAGCAATTACAAAGAAGTACAGGAGTTATTTATAAACAAATAACTTAACATGGGAAACAAAAATTGTTTTGAAACTCCAGCTGTTGTCAGAAATTAAATATTAATAATTGGTCACCATGGAAGCATGAGAAAATTATGTTAAACTAATAACAGTCATAATTTCCGATGATTTGAAAATAGTCAACTAAAAGATTATTAACTAATGGAAATACTCACAATTTACATAACAGTCCTATTCCAGTTTAAAGGGTTAATTTTTAACTATCAAACTGCCCATGGACGGGAAAAGGTAAGCTTACAATTTAAGTCAACGTAAAAAGGCAGTCAGCTTTTATAATGTACCGTACATTGAGATATAAGTTATTTAGCCAATTTTTAGACAATAAGGTGTAGGCTACTTTAAACGCTACAGAACTGGGTTAGGCAAAAACTGGCAGAACTCTGAAATGGTGTTATTCATCATAGGCATACTCATATGCCAAATCCTTAAAATAAAAATTCTATAATTAATAACTTATATCATTAAACAAAAACCAACATCCAAAACTATACATATTTTTAATACAACATAGATAATTTACACATTGAGTGTTTACAATTAACATATGTTCTTCTTCTCACTTTTAATTTTTGCTTCGCAACGGGAAAAATCTGTTTCATAATCATTGAAATAAATAATCCATCATAAAGTTTAAGATTAAATAATATACATAGTTGTTTTATTTTTTTGGATCAGCTGTCTGAAATTGTGAAATATGCATTTGACAGTTCTGGTTGTTTACAGTTAAATGTTAAAGCAAATGTAAACATTGTGAATTTTCTCATGCTTCCATGGAGACCAATTATTAATATTTGATTTCTGACAACAGCTGGAGTTCCAAAACAATTTTTGTTTCCCATGTTAATGTTATGGAGAAATACGAAACTTTAAAGGGCTCCAGGGCCTCACTCTCTAATTATTCACCTAAAAAGAAAGTTTCCTGCACAACTTCACGTTACGCTCTTTCCAATGACACCAAAAACATGTCAATCGGTTTAGTAGTTTCGGAGGAGTAATTGTCACAAAAATCCTGCTTGCGTATTAAATAAGTACTAGTGGTCGTCCTGTGGTCGAAACTCGACCAAAAGTAATTAATGTACAGACTTCTCTATTTTCTCCCCACGCTGTAAAAAAACATGTGATTGGAATTTCTTCCATTTGTTTTGATTTTCTGTTTACATTTTGTTGTTATTTCGTCACCATCATGGCAACCCATATGGTCCATGTTAATTTTTTGAAGTTTTCAAAATCATTTTTTGTTCTTATTTGTTAGCCTATTTTAATTTTTAAAAGCATTCTGCACATCTACAGGAAAATATATTTCCAACAGTATGCGTAGATTTTCCCTGCGATGCACACGAGCTGAGAAAAAAGGTTTTAAAGAAACATGCTTGCCTATTAATATATAGATAGATAGATTATACTGTGATCAAGTTCACCTATTTCATATTACGCTATTTAAATTTCACTCGCTATATTTTAGTGCTGAAGGAAGTGACTGTGTTGGGCACTACTCCTGAGGCAGTGGAGAATAGAGAAGAGTGGAGAAGTTTCTTTGGCAAGGCCAAAGGTAAGTAATATTTTAGTGACAATCAATTGAAACAAATGGAAATTCGCTTAGTTTGCAGGTCTGATGTGGCGCGGCGGGTGTATTTTATGCATAATTTAGGTAGCTTTAACCATTGACCTTTGTATATGTACTATCAATAGTTAAAAAAATTTTCACTCTTAGGTAAGTTTAAAAATGTATTACTTAAAGAACTTTAAAAAAATTCAAAAGATATTGTTGATAGTTAAGAACGACAAACCTATATTTAAGTTTTTTTTTAACCGCGGGGTAGCTTTGTGATAATGGTGCTCTCTATCAGAATTACCGCTGGTTTGATTCTGAGAAAAGTTAAATTTTTAAGTTTTGAAACTGAACCCAGCTTTTATTGGCCAGTCGTCTTTTTAATTTGATATCTTTTAACGGTTCTAGCTATCAAAATAGCTGATTAACATTTCAAACAATTGCATCACCCAAGAGACAATCTTGCTTTGTTAATTCATGTTCTACACTCATTTTCATTCGCAATCATCTTGAAATACGCACCTAAAAATGCGTATAGCTGTGTTTAAGAATGTGTATGGCCTAAATTCATCTCAGTTTGGAGAGGAATAAAAAACACAAAAACACAGATCTTTATTACATTTTCAAGAAAAATTGTATCGTTTGTTAGTATATTACATTACTACTGTACTAAATACATTTTATAGCTTGCATTGGATAACAGAAATTTCAAATAGACATGAAGTATGTGTAAACGTTAACCTGGTTGGTTATAAACATGTTCTTTGGTTCAAAAGTTTCACAGCGATTGCTTTCAGGCAGTTTCTCCATTGAACCGATCCAGGGCAAAGGATACAAAAGTCAACAATATAACTTTGTTTCATATTCACAATACCAATGTGGACCATTGTTTTAGCTTGGATGGTTTTCGCATTGGCATTTTAAGTATTGGTTCAAGATATATTTTTATAAGGATATTGTTAAATTTGTCGAATAGTTTAGGTACGAAATAGTTATTTGTGTAACTAGTGTGCGAAGCGGCACTTTGCTGCATATGAGATAAATGTGTGAGTGTCAGAGTGTGGAAAGTTTCTAGAGTGTGGAAAGTTTCTCGAGTGCAGCAAAGGAAATTTGCGCCCGTGTTACACATTATATTTTTCCTACAGTTACTATAAAGCATAGAAATAGTCTTTCAAACACTATAAAAAATGTTTTTAGGTTAGGTTAAATCCGAGCGTTGAACGAAATGAGAAACACTTCATCAGCTGGTCGTTGTCGTAGCATCTTTAAGTGCTGCCAACTTATTTTCAAGAGTACAAGTATTACGTGCCTAATAAAATTAAACTGTTTTGTGTTGTTTGGTTTCAATAGGTACTGGAGTGTGGCAAAAAATAGAGTGGTCAAATTAAAAAGAGTGCGGTAAAAGTAAGTAAATGCAGCAATTAACAACTATCTGTGCTATAATCACTAATCAGTACAAGGAAGCCCACTTTGCCAGGTGATGTAGGAACATCAAGATTTGATTATGTTTATCTTTGCTCTATCGTTTTGGGTTAATTTCAATGCCAAGATTACCTTATTAATTTCAGGAATATATAATAAAACGATAACGAGGATTCTGAACAATAAAACGACTCGTATTTTTGAGGACAATTACGACAAGGTACGCAATTTGTATTCAGGTAATCGATTCTAGAGTTGTCAGTGACAGTTATTACAATGTTGTTTAAATGTTTACATCTTTAATTTTAAGCATTTTGTACGCTAGTAAGGTATACTTGTTATGGTATGAAACTGGGCCTAACTGTCCTGGAGAGGTCCTGCATAAAGCAATTTCTGATCTCAATTAAGAAAGTTCCGCAGGTAAAATCATTTTACGCCACACTACATTATTTTGATGAACTTTCCACGCAAGGATTTAGTCCAGAAAACAGCTGTTTGCCGCCAGCTTATTCAAATGGGGTTTCATTGCGTAATACTGTTCTGCAATGAGTTTTACCGGACACCAATCAGCTGATTATACTGTATTTTCGTGGCAATTAGTGGTTATAAACAAAAACATAACCTCTCATGACTAGTGATTTTTAGTCCTTTAGTTGGTGGAAATATATAAGGATTTGTACGGATTAAGTAGTATGGCGTAAACTATCGTACGTAACTCGTCCAAAATGTGTGTACCGGACTCGTATGGTAATCCCGTACTCGACTTCGTCTCGCACGGGAACGACTTCGTCTCGCACGGGAACGACCACACTCGTCCGGTAAACACTTATTTTCAGGACTAGTAACGTAATATACTATTATTGTCTGTGCTATTACGTTACACACACCCTGCATTCATACCCAGCTTTAAATTCGTACTATTTAGGTACGTCACACTTTTTATAAAGTAATTAAAATAAATATTTTTAAGCTATTCGGCTGTAAAAGTTAAAGCAGTGTTTCCCAACCAGTGTGCCGGGAGGCCTCTGTAGGTGTGCCGCGAAATTTTAAGTAGTTAAAAAATTTTTGATCAAGAAAGAAACTTTTAATGAGCAAACGTCGAGCACAAATTTCCCACTAGAACTCAACCACGGTTTATTAAATATTTCTCACCCATTATTGGTAAATTCATACGACATTTTTATCAAGCTCAATGTTTTATTATTATTTAAAACTTTCCACTTAATAAACAATAAATAATGTACACATGTTAGATAACAAATGTGAGTTTTATATTTTTTACCTTATATATATATAGGCTATATATTTACTAGTAAAAAATAGGTTTTACGGAGTAAGATGTAATTGAAAAAAAGAGTCTTTTATGCACTTACTAAATGTAATTTTAACCAACGATATTTTGTAGACAAGTGTGCCGTGACTACAAACTTGTTCTAGTTAGTGTGCCCTGAACGGAAAAAGGTTGGGAAACACTGAGTTAAAGGATCTTTACGTAGTTCCAGAGTTCACCACAGCTGGTACGAGCAGCACTATTCGGTTGGAGATTCACAACTCTGCACCCTAACGGACATTCTTGTCACTACACAACGTCTGGTAAATGCGAGAATCTATTTTTATTTTTCCAAACAGGTTTGTTATTTTTCTCCCTGTATTTCACCATCCGTCTAACATTAAGTTTCTTAATCGTTATACTGTAATGTTTCAACTCAAGAACCATAAATGTAAAAATTTAATTAATAAATCGATTTATTAAATAACATTTAATAAAAATATTTAAATATTTAATTAAATCTTATGTTTAATTGCCTTAAAGGAAATGAATACTCCCTCTAATTTCATAAATTTTAATTTCTTTTTTACAGCAATGTCTTCAAGAAAGATCTGTCTATACATTACACTATTATAAAACACATTGATTTTTGAATTATACTTTACATTAACTGTAATCTACTTTACATCTACTTTACATTAACAAGTACAAGTAAAATATTTTTGGGTTGCGTAGAGGTCACATATCGCATTCGGGAGGATTTGGGCTATAAAGGTGACTACCATGCGGAGTTGGACTGGACCTTTTTGGGGCCATAAAACCAAAGAATTCTATGATAAAACCATTCCTCGACCAAAATCTGACCACCGCGAGGAGTTGGGCTATCCCCAAACTTGAACGAGCGCTACAAACACTTATGGCAGAGCTCATACAATGTTTGAACCACAACTGTAATAGTTTAATTTTACACAAGTAAATTTTACTGAAGGAATTTCTTGGGTTATCTTTTGTGACTATGAGGACAAATTATACTTTTCATACTAAATGGCATTTACATTGACATAAAGTAATACTAGACCATGCCATCCAAAAAACATTCGACAAAATATTGATCCTCTTTAACAGAAAAGTCGACTTTAGAAACAATGTATACAGTTCCTTTAAGGAAAATCAGATACAAATGGATTGACGATAATAAAAGAATAGTCGACCTTGAACTTCTTACAACGTTAAACGGAATATTCCTGAAACTACAAAGCTAGCTATAATTACGTTCAAATATTTAGTCGCTCCTGTAAACGAATTTTAAACTAAGCGCTAGGATCGTGTTGCACATGTATATTTCAATTAGCGGTCGTTATGGCGGGCAGGTAGGGTGAATTATTAATGTGCCTCTGACACAGGTGGTGTCTTCATCGACCTCACCCAGTAGTATCGTGTAGACTAGATGATAGAGGTCATAACCACGGTCACACAACAACATCACACTGGTCAGTTTATACTATTTTGCACTTTTATATAATTTTTAAGTTAAATATAAGTTAAACATCGTAGTTATAATGATTATTTGGTATATAAATGGACCTAGAACCTTTGAATGAAATTGGTTAATGATTTGTGTTTTTGTTTTTAACGGTACTAGATTTTTTATATTTTATGTTAAGGTAACGGTACATAACCTACCCCTCTGTTCGGGTATGTATACGTGGTCTAACGTCGACCTTGACGACAAAACCATTGATTTGTAACCCAGTGATAAATTATGTATGGTCTAGCTAGGCCCTAGAATGTATCTTTCGAATCGAACCAATGATATTAAGATTTAAAGTGAGCACTTGACTACCTACACAATAAGTTGCACATGCTGTACTTAAGCAGAACCGTATGTCCCTATGGTGCTGATGATTGTTAGCTGGTAATGTTTCTAATATATAAAGTTCTTTATAAGCAAGAGTAGATAAAAAGTAGTACGTTTTTCAATGTTTGTCGTATTCACACAAACAGTCCATAAACATGTAATACTTGTGTGTTGGCTGCAACCAATGTTATCATGCAATTGTCACTTTTTACATGACATAGCTGTGTTATTGAGTTCACCTCGTAATTGGATAGGAGGTTTAATCTTGAGGTTAATGAATTCTTAAAGTTTGAAAATGGGCCCAGCTGTCCTTGACTTTGGGCTTGTATTGTTAATTAACTAAGTGATATCCGTGGGCTTCATAAATCAAATAAATAATAACTTATAGATTTTATGGTGAAAATATAAATTAGTATTTAGTAATTAGTAATTAGTAAAATGGGACAAAAT